TAAAAGCATCTATTAATAGAATAATGTAATTTTATTATTATTAATGTAGATTATGTTTGTTATTTCTCCTGCATGCCTGTTATAAAACCCAACTAGTCATAATGAGCAACCTTTTAAATATGTTGTTGCCTCTTTAATAGTTTAATATTTTTGTGTCAGTGTTCATGAGGGAAATTGGCTGAAAGTAGTGGTGTTAAACTCAAATGGAAACGGATCCCTGTAAGCCACATACTTAGAAAGCCACAAATTAACATTATCTAGGTTGTATTGTATTTTTACTTATTTTATTAAACATTTCCCAATCACATCTTAATCTGATTGGCTGCACGGGGAAGTTTTATAGGCAGCATAGTGGGTTAAGACCTTTGATCTTTCCTAATTTTGTTTCTCTCTGGTTTTAATAACAAGACCATGTTTCCATCCTAGAAAGAATTTGGAGGAATTCCTTTTCTGTTTTCGTGCAGAGTTTATGTAACATTGGAAATAATTTTTCTATGAATGTGATAGAATTTACTTGTACATTTATATGGTCCTATTCTTTATGTCCTCAGCAGTTCATTTATGGCTTTTACAACTTCTTTTTCTGATACTGGATTATGTAAACAACCCATTTCTTGTTTTCTTAATATATATATATTTTTTAAATACTCAATTCATTCATTGGTTTGCTTGCTTGTTTTTTTCTTTGAAGTGCTTTATTTCTTCTTTGAGATTCAGGGTTTCTATTTTGTTGCACAGTTAGTGGTTTAGAGGCAGGTTTTTTTTTTAAAGTTATTGCTTTTATCTTCTCCTTTTTTTTTTAGTTGCATGCGCAGTTCACCAATGTGTTCTTTCTCTCTCTTGTTGACGAATGTATTTAGGAATATGGATTTTTTCATAAGGACCAATTTAGCTACATCTATAAAGTTTGGGGCATGTTGCCTAATTGTCAGTTTATTAGTTAAAATTTTCCATTGTTTCTAGTATTTGCACTTCAATTCACCAATTCTTTAGGATTAAATTATTAAGTCTCCAATTGATTTTAATCCATTCTCCAAAGTCTATTTATTAAATATAAATTTTTTATCATATTGTGGTCAAGAATCTCAAAATAAACAATTAAAAAGAATAGAAAGGAAGGAAAGCTAGCAGTGTAAGATCTCAAAACTGTAATACAAAGCAGTAATTATCAAAACTATTTGATAAACAGTTAAACAATAGAGAGGTCAATGGAACAGATTAGGTACTATGTACAGAGCAAATTAACATAGTAGCATACTGTTTTGATACAAAACACGCAAAATCCTAGGCAGGGGTGAGGAACCTTTGGCCTCAAGGCCACATGTCGCCAAGTGTGGCCCTTTGACTGAATCCAAACTTCACAGAACAAATCCCCTTAATAAAAGGAGGTTCCCCATCCCTGGCCTAGGGTAAAGACACACTGTTTGACAACAACTGGAAAGCAAGCTTGCAGAAGTTAGGTACAGAAAAATTATCTATCACCATAATCAAAACTAAGCTTCAAATGGATATGGCTTAGATATAAAAGGTCACACATAGAAAGACTTAGGGACCAAAGGACAGAGATGGCAGAAGGCAAAATGCACAATTTTGATTAGATAGAATTAAAAAAAAACTCTTGCATAAACAAAACCAATATAGTTAAAATTACAATGGAAATGATGGGTGGGGGGAGGGAAGGCAAATCTTTGAAAAATATTTCTCTGATAAAGGTCTCATATTCAAGATATATAAAGAATTGACTCGAATACATATGAACAAAAGCCATTCCCCAATGGATAAATGGTCAAAGAATATGACCAGGCAGTTTTTAGAAAAAGAAAGAAATTCAAGCCACAAAACCCATGTGAAAAAATGTTCGAAATCATTCATTGAAACAACATTGAAGTTCCACCTCACAACCATCAGATTGGCAAAGTTGATAAAAAAGGAAAATGAACAGTGTTCAAGAGGCTTTGGGAAAATAACTACACCAATGCATTGTTGTTTGAGCTATGAACTGGCCTAGCCATTCTGGAAAGCAATTTGGAATGATTCCCAAAATGTCACTAATTTGTGTTAGCCTTTTGACTCAGCAATACCATTATTAGGCCTGTTCTCCAAAGAAATAAAAGAACTAGAAATTAAGGACATATTCATCAAGTGGTAAATGACTGAATATGAAGGCAATAGAATATTATTGAGGTAAAAGCCATTATGAAAGTCATGGTTTCAGAGAAACCTGGGAAGACTTGTATAAATCAGCGAAATGAACAGAACCAGAACGATTTATTAAATTAGAAGGATATGATGAAACGCACGTTTCCCTCCCAAACAAAAGGAAAAAAAACAGATAAGAAAAAGAAATGGAAAAAAGAGGGTTATTAAAGCATTTTAAAAATGCACAGAAGGGAATGGCAGGCCAGATGGATTCTCAGACAAGCTGGAGGACTTTGACAAGTTACATATTGAAGTTATTATATTATTAAAAAGAAAAGCAAGCTGTACATAATTGAGAGTACTATTTCTATGTACAATCCTCTTTTTGTGGTCCATGGATACATAGAAGTACTCAACTTATTTGTTTTCGATTAAGTTCAAATTTTTAAATAACACAATAAAGGATAAAAAAAATGCACTACCCTCTTCTCTATGCTTCTTAAAACCATAAATTTATCACATTTGTGCCCCAGATTTTGTGATGTGGTATATCAGAGTAAAAAGCAGGTAGTTACGGTAAATCCCACTACTTGACTCATATTATGCATTAACTTGGTACAGATTGTTTCTTCTAGTATTCCTGATTGTTCTTTTCTGGTTTAAAAATTATTTCCCTAGCCTTCTTGTTTTTTTTAATGTATTGACTATGACATTATTTTCTTCCCTTCTTTTCTCTCCCCTCACTGCCAAATGTATTATGAGCTAGGCTCTGGAAGCATTAGACTTTGCACAAAGGACACACTTTGTGTAACTAAGCTTTTAACATGATGGAAATGAGGAGCTGACACCAAGGCACTCCAGTGAAATCCAAGCTGAAAAAAGCCATGAGTAAGACCAATGGGGGTCATTATTTTGGTCCACTTCTTTTGAAAAAGCTCTGACTCTGCTAAGAAAAAGGACACAAGTAGCTGGAAAACTCCATGTGGACAGTGAATGGGAAATTCTCTAGGCATATTCACATAGACCTTTGACTATGTGACTTTGATTTTATCCCCATCAGGGTATAATCATGAAGCTCCCTTTCTCAGTGTGACCTAGTGATTCACACACACACACCAGTCATTACCATATTCTACAAATCCCATCTTAAATGTACCACTCGACAACCTCCACTTTCCCCAATCATTCCAAAAATATTCAGTTCCATATTCATGACCAAGGAAGATTCTGTGATCAAGAGATTTAAGTACAAGGTAAGATAAAGACACAATTGAGGTAAATCCTACTTACTGTCTCACATATGCTTTCACTTGATGTAGGATGTCTGTTCTTTTCTATTTGAAAGGATGTCTTGCAGTCTTTGATCCATGGCATCATTTTTAAAAAATGGATCGATATAAAACAACCCATCATAATAGTCAAACAAACATCCTTAGAAAAATAGTTTGTCAGTTGCTAACAGAAAAGAAGGGCAGCTAGGTGGTGCAGTGGAAAGCGCTGGGCCTGAAGTCAGGAAGACTCATCTTCCTGAGTTCAAATCTGGCCTCAGACACTTGCCCTGAGCAAGTCACTTAACCCTATTTGCCTCAGTTTCCTCATCTGTACAATGACCTGGAGAAAGAAATGACAAACCACTCTGGTATCTTTGCCAAGAAAACCCCAAATGGGATCACAAGTAGTTGGACACAACTTAAATGACTCAACAACAAAACAGAAAGGAGGGTCTTTAACGGCATGGTACTAGTACTACCACATTTCACCAGTTTGCTACCTCTCCACATTACTTTATACTATCATAGTTGGTTTTTTTGTTTTTGTTTTGTTTTGCTATGACAGCATATATCCACATGCACTACTTCTTTTAGGATTTTCTGGTTTCTGGAAAAATAAGATCTATTCTGGTCAAGGCTTCAGGTCCACAAATTCATGGGATTAAAAAATAGAAAAATGACCTTGGTAGACATCTAGTCCAACCTATAACAAAAAAAAAATTGCCAACCTGACTCACTGTTTGAAGTTTGTATCCTGGGGGTCCCCTCCAGTACCAACTCATGACTAGGGTATTGTCGCGGCTTAGTCTACAGCATTTCTTATTAACTTTTCTTCCAATGATGGGCATTTAGCTACTTATTCACTTTTCCTCCTATGCTATCTGTCTCCATATCGAGTTTCACCCATTCTCCCAATTTTCCCATCCCATCTTGCTTCTATCATGTATTATCTTTGCCCTTAGGGCTTTCCTACTTGAGTATTTTCCTAGTCTAACCAGTCATCCCAACCATCCCAACTAAAAGAACTTAAGTTGGGAAATACTTCATGTGGTCCAATTATGGTACCGACATAGGATTTCCCTCTGTAACATCTTGGCAAGTGAGGCAGTTAGGTGACACAGTAAATGACACACTGGACCCAGAGTCAGGGAGACCTGAGTTCAACTCCCACCTGAGACACTTGCAAGCTGTCATCCTGGGCAAGTCACTTGAGCTCTGTCTGCCTCAGTCTCCTCATCTGCAAAATGGAGATAATAAAAGCACCTCCATCCCTGAGTTGTGAGGATAAGATGATATATTTGTAAAGTGCTTTGAAAACCTTAAAGTGCTATATAAGTGGCATCTTTTTATTATTAGCTAAGATCATCCATCTACCCCTTAAGTCTACCAATGTTGGGGAAACTATTAACTCCTGAAGTAGTCTACTCTGCCTTTGGATAGGTCTACTGTTATGATGCTTTCCCCTAATATAACTGTCTCCTTTACCTACCCCAGATTTGAATTTATCTATGGATGAGTGCTCACTTGAAAACATAGCTCACACATCCCAACAAGTGTTTACTTTTATTGAACAAATAAAAGACACATCAATTCAAAACAAAAGGTATTTAATCAAACAGCATAGCAAATAAAGTAACAAAATACACAGGTGCTCCCCCCCAACCCCCGCCCCAAACACATGGGGCATATATTCCACAGGTTATAATATCATTTGAAAAGAATATTCACAGAGCACTCACATGAGCTGGGAAAACAAACAGAAGACACACACACAAAAGAACACATATTAAGGCAAACAAATCAGGTACTGACGTAGCCCTGGCACATGTATGACCAGGGCAATGCACCTCCATATTGCAGAAATGCTGACATCTTCTGGTAATTGCCACATTCCAATTCCATTGTTTTGCCTCTGATGACTTTATGGTCACTGAGCTATACTGTGCAGGGCTTCTGGCATTAAGGGCTAACGTTCTGCTTTCTGTTCTTAAGTGCAGTGTTTAGAAGGCCTTAACTTACAAAGGGCAAACTCATACTTTCAGTTCACAGCCTGGACGTATTATATACACGATACTCATCTGGGAAACTAACAAAAGCCAACAAAATGCCCCACGGTATTCAAAAAAGCCCATGGTACTCACTACTATCTGACTTTGGGTTAGATCATTCCTCATAACTCCCATTACTGATGATCAATCTGTGTCCTCAAAAAGTATTATCTTAGACAGTGGCTCTTAAATTCCCATGGAAGTTACATGTAGGCTGGGGCTTTAGGCCCATCTAAGATACTCTATGAGTAGCATCCAACTGAAACTGAGGGCTAAAACAAGACCTAGTTGAAAAATGTAGGTTCCACAACCCTGTCTTTTATTATTATGCCTAATTGCTGCTTTCCAGTTATTCCAAGCTTTCCAGGGCTTCTTACTTATAATGAACTGAAAACTGCCTCTTTACAATTTCTACTCTTATTCATCTCTCGAGGTACAAGTAGAGTACATTAATCCATCTTCTATATCAATTCATCTTGGCTTTCTCCCTGCCTCTCTGTATAGTTTCCTTAGAAGGTATGTTAGGCTCTCATAACTCTGCTCCCTCCTTATCAACCACTCATTTGACTCACGCTGAGGTTACCTGGAAAGGGATTGGCTTTGAATGAATCTGAATGCATTTACGGATGAGTGCCCAAGCAATATCGATAGATGTAGAGTTATGTACTTTTCCTAAAGGCTCCAAGTTTCCATAAATTTAAGTGGATTTTACTCCAATACAAATTATTTGACACGGGCTGGACCTGAATATTTTCCTACATTGTTTATATTCAAAGTTGGGGGGTGGGTGGGTGTATCTACTATGAATTTCACTACGTACAATAAAGTTTGGACATTTGTCTCCACGAAGAATTCCGATGTTCTTTAAGCATATTCATCACACTGGAATGGTTTCCCATGAATATAAAATGAATTGGGCCTTGAATTTTTGTCAGTTTTCCCATATTAATTAAATAGAAAAGGCACCTCCCTGAGTGAATTCTCTTCCATGAATTAATGGTTTCCTTCCAGTTGAAAGCTTTCCAACATTCATTATAGGGAAATACTTTCTCATCAGTATGAAATATTGATAATTTAGGCTTTGATACTTGAAGGCTTTCACATTCATTTATTTATATGGATTCTTTCCAGTATGGATTCTTCTATGTATTTTATGGCTTCCTAGAATTAAGTAATTCAAATTGTTTCTCACCAGTATGAGTTATTTTATGTGTATTAAGATTTCCCATCTGGTTAAAGGCTTTTCCACATTCATTACAGATGTACAGTTTCATTCCCTTATGAGTTATTGAATGTCTATTAAGTTTTCCTTTCTGGATGAAGGTTTTCCCACATTCATTACACTGAAAGGGTCTCTCCCTGGTATGACAGACTTGATGGTAAGTTAAACTTTGTTGATTGGTAAAAGCTTTTTCACATTCATTACATTTATAGGGTTTTTCTCCAGTATGAATTCTCTTATGTCTTTTAAGACTTCCTTTCTGGCTGAAAGCTTTCCCACATTCATTACATTCAAAGGGTTTCTCCCCAGTATGAGTTACTTTATGCATGGTCAGAGTTCTCTTCACATTAAATGACTTACCACATTCATTACATACATAGGGTTTCTCTCCAGTATGAACTCTTTTATGTATATTAAGGTTTCCCTTTGTGGTGAAGGCTTTTTCACATTCATTACATTGAAAAGTTTTCTCTCCTGTATGAAATATTTGATGATGAATTAGGCTTTGATGATTGGCAAATGCTTTTCCACATTTATTACATTTATAAGGTTTCTCTCCTGTATGAATTCTCATATGTCTTTTAAGGTTTCCCATCACAATAAAGGCCTTCCCACATTCATTACATATATAGGGTTTCTCTCCAGTATGAATTCTCTTATGTCGATTAAGATTGGCTCTCTGGGTGAAAGCTTTCTCACATTCACTACACTGAAAGGTTTTCTCTCCTGTATGAAATATTTGATGATGAGTTAGGCTTTGATAATTGGTGAATGCTTTCCCACATTCATTACATACATAGGGTTTCTCTCCAGTATGAATTCTCTTATGTGATTTAAGACTTCCATTCCACCTGAAGGCTTTCCCACATTCATTACATATATAGGGTTTCTCACCAGTATGAATTCTCTTGTGTTTGTTGAGATCTCTTCTCAAGATGAAGGCTTTCCCACATTCATTACATTCAAAAGGCATCTCACCTGTATGAAATCTCTTATGAGTTCTAAGGTTTCCTTTCAGGCTGAAGGCTTTCCCACATTCATTACATATATGTGGTTTCTCTCCAGTGTGAATTTTCTTATGTACCCTAAGGGATGCACGATATCTGAAGCCTTTCCCACATACATTACATTCCAAGTGGTTTTCTCTAGTATGACTGATTTTATGTGTCTTAAGGATGCCTCTCTGACTAAAACCTTTCCCACATTCACTGCATTTATAGGGTTTCTCACCAGTATGAATTATTTCATGTTGCTTAAGGGATGAATGGTATCTGAAGCCTCTCCCACAGGTACTACATTCAAATCGTTTCTCTCCAGTATGAATTAGTTTATGTGTATTAAGGCTTCCTTTCTTGCTGAAAGATTTGTTACATTCATTACATTTATGGGGTTTCCCTTGAGGATGGGTTCTATGATAACGAATAAGGTCTGACTGGTAACTGAAGGGTTTCCTGCATTTCTTATACTTGAGTTTCTTCCCAATGGATATTCTCTTAGATTTAAGTGGGTCAAAAAACTGCTTTAAACTCCTTCCAAGAGTACTGTATTTAGGAAGACTTTCTCCTATATGAACTCTCTGTTGGGGAATAACAACTGACCCTAGATTGAGCTTTCTCCCAAACATATTATATTTACGAACAGATTCCTTAGGGGTTGTTACTTCTTGAGACTGTGTTTCTTGGTTTCCTTTCTGCCTATCTAACCTGTCACCACAACCCCAAGTTTCTCCCGATGTGGAATGCCAGGGCCCTTCCTTTATGAATCTCTCTTTAAATGGTTCTCCCACAAAAATATCCTGCTTCCCAGTTGTCTCCTTGGTTTCACATCTTGTCTTCTGACTAAGAGAATCTGAAAACAACAAAAACATGTCAATATCCATTTTCCCCCTATGCTTGGAACTTTAAGAACTCTGATCAATGCATTATATTCTAGATTGTGTCTTTTATTTAAAGGACAATGATAACTAATGAGGAAAAAGTAGAATAATCATCGTTAGCAGGAAATTTAAGCCTAATGTGGTCAAGGAAATAGTAACAGTGCAACTAGTTGCTCAGGAGTTAATCCAGTGATTGATACCTCTCAAGACTACACCTCTTGGTTTCCCTTCTGCCAATCTAACCCGATAACACAATCCCAAATTTTTCCCACTGTGGAATCCAAGGAACCTTCCTTTATGAATCTCTCTCCATTCTCAGAAAGAAGAAACAGTTTGATTTTAGAAACTAATGACCAGTAAGTTGCAAAATCCAGGGGTAAACCTATCAAACCAATGATTTGTAATCATTTAGAAAAAAAAAGTGTTGATTCCTACATTGTCATATAAATTAGAAGAGATTATGCAAACCAACAACATATCTGTTATTTATAAGATGTGTGGGCCAGTGGATGAGGTGTTACTGCAGGCATCAAAATAGCTAGATTTCAGCAACCTGTTTGGAAAAACTCATCTCAAGATGCCTTTGATGATTAGATTAAACAAATGTGGGTTAGATGAAAATACAACTCAGTGAGAATTTGGAAATGTTCAAATAATCTTTCCCCAAGTCTTGCACATAGAGCTGTTGTAAACCTGCAATATATTCTCTAGTTTTATGCCTTAGATCTATGGATAGGGCCTTGCTCCATTCACCATTTTTGATGAAATAACCGACCGCATTCTCATTTACACAAAGTGAGGCATCCTATCTTGGTGGTTAGAGAACCTGAAAGCCCTAGCTTCAATTTCCCCTATGGCATACATTATCTAGGCAAGTCATTTAACCTCAGTGTTCCAGGAAACTCTCTCAGCCTAGGAGGAGTAGAGAAGGGGCCAACATTCATTGGTAAAGGTAGTTTCTTCACCTTATCCCCATTTAACAGTTTTATAAAAAACTTTAGAGAGTATTCTCACCAACATTGCTGATATGAAGATATGTGAGATAACTAGTAATATTAGACAAATGAATTAGGATTAAAAAAAACCCAAGGAGATGGAAATATTGGCTAGAAAAAACAATTTGTTATTTAATAAAGATAAATGCAAATTCCTGTGCTCAAGACATTGATTACACAAATGTAGGATTGTAGAGACATGGTTGAGTATTGGTTCAAAAAGCCTAGGGTTTTTAGTTGATTCCAGGATAAATATGGACCACTAATAAGCGGTGATTCATGTTATTCTTAAGCTATTTTTATGAACAAGAAGAGGTACTGGCAGACAACAGAAAATTAAGGTAGACACTGTACTGGTAGCATGACAGGACCCAATGAGGAGTCATTATTATCCAGATGTCAGCTTGGACAGAAGTTGCCCAAAGGAACTATCCTTGGCTCTGAATTTAACATTTTAATCAGTGACTTGGAAGAAGGCACAAATGGCAGGTTTATCAAATGTGTGGATGACCAAAAACTGGGAAGACTGCCTAATACTATGGAATATGGGGTTAGGATGACAAAATGTCCTGACAGACTAGAACGCTGGGCTCAATATAATGGAGCTTAAGCTCACACGGTTGGATATAAAGTCCTACACTTGGGTCACAAAACATCACAAATACAAGTTTAAGGAGGAGGGGCTCCCCTACTAGAGTTCACTAAAAAAGACCCTGATGCTTTAACGGACTGGAGTGTAACATCAAATCAAAATGTCAATAGTTAGTTTCAACAGACAAAGCACCTAATGTGATTTTAGGACAATTCAGGTGAGAGTTTTGCTCTCTATTCCACCCAGACACAGTAACAAACCAGCTAATGTGACCTTAGGGTGCACAAAGTGGCCTGGGGTCCCGAACAAGGGAAGTGATATTCTGACTCCACTCTGTCCTGAGCACACCACATCTGGAGTGTTCACTTCTGAGTAGGAGAGGGCAGAATTCATCTAGAAGTGTGTACCTGGGAGATGGAGAGGGTTACTGAAGGAAAAGAGGAAAGGAGATGGGAATAAGTATAAAAGTTAGAAAATAAGGAAGGATTAGCAGAAGTGGCTTAGGATCAGATTCATGGCTTTCACCTCACAACTGAGTTACTCAACTACTCAACATGTCTACAGCTATTACCTCTTCCAACCCACCCCTTTATAGATGCCATATTTTTGTCCCCAATACAAACTTCATCATAGCATTTCCCTTTCCAACAATTGCCATTTCCTCTATTACCTCCACCTTCTGATATAGTCAATTCCCCTAGGAAGCAATGAAGGGACCCCAGAAGGCATCATCTGCTCCAGTCAACCTATCACTGTTGCCTAGCAGGCTTTCCACATGATTCTTCCCTATCAAAAATGCTTCCTCACTCCTCTCTCCACCTAATTGAATTCCAATTGTGTCTTCTG